ATACAATACAATACAATACAATAGCAGAGTTGGAAGGGACCTTGGAGATCTTCTAGTCCAACGCCCTGCCCATGTATTCTGAGACAGCTAAATCAAAAACAGTGGGTAGCATTCAGTTGTGGAATTCATTTTTTTTTCCAACCGATTCTGTGGGTGTGGCAGGGGAAGGATACTGCAAAATCTTCATTCCGACCCCACTTTGCGGCCAGTCAGAGGAGGTATTTGCCGGTTCTCTGAACTACTCAAAATTTCCGCTACTGGTTCTCCAGAACCTGTCAGAACCTGCTGAATTTCACCCCTGCTCAGAGAACCCTCCACTTCCTCCCAATCACTCAGGAAAACCCAAACTGGGGGAAGACAAGCCAACCCCCCACTTCTCTTTCACATTCTTTCATGCCCCATGGAGAGGAGTCTCTCTTAGGCCCCAATAGACTGGATTGTAAGTTTCTTTATTTGATTTAAATAGTGATCATTAGCCAAACAGTTCTGGAATCAAACAGGAAAATATAATTATTTGCCCTCTACAATTGTTGCAAAGGATGGGAGCGTCTTCTCGGCTGCAGCCAGACATTGGGGGTCAGGTATCCAGGACTGACATGGTCTGTGTCTACCAAGGAAGGAGAAGTCAGTGTCCCCCACAGGCGGGGCAGGGGAACCGGACAAAATATTTACAATCCATTCACTCATCCAAGAACCTCTCCGCTTCTTCACAGGGCTGTCAGTTGCCCCAAGACCATCCGGAACTGCTGAGTGCTGTTGGCCAACTCGTGCACCCGTTCCACCATGTCTTTGGCAGCAACTGGGGACGGGTACTGGAGGGCAGCTGTCTTAGTGCTGGCCACGATCTCCTTGAGCAGGTCGCAGAGCAGGTTGCTGTAATGGGTGACCTTCTGGCGGACCTCTTGGGCCTTCGCCTGGCGAGACAGAGTGTCGCCGATGAAGACCAGCTTGTGGGCGCTCAGGATGACGAACTTGCTGTGTGCCACAAAGATCTTGGGGGGCTGGTTAGTGTTCACGGCAGTGAAGAAGGCGTCCACGGCGTTGGTCAACGTCGTGAGGTTGGCCTCACACTGTTCCAGGTAGAAGAGCAGCAGCTGCCGGTCGGAGGGCCCTAGGGCTGTGCCGCCGCCCCGCACGTGAGGGTAGTGTTGTGGGGGTGTCCAGTTGGACAGGTCATTGTCGATGGGGCGAGTCACCTCCTGTTCCAGTCGCTCAAATTGCTTCAGCTGTGGGCAGAGGGCAAAGATGAAAACCAACCTGTTCCCTGGGCTGACTGCAGACCTAACGAAAAGCTCTACACCCCCTAACTCTCTGCAAAGGCTACAATTATCAGTCCGTACAGGAGTTAATTAAGTTGATCATTAAGATCATTTAGGCACGTGGTATTTTAACTACCGTATTTTTCTGAGTATAAGATGCTCCGAAGTATAAGACGCACCAAGCTTTTGGGGAGGAAAACAAGGGGGAAAAATCTGCCTCTGACTCCCAGCAATTTGCCTCCTTGCAACAAACAGAAAACAGTACGGACAATAGACACTGTTTGTGGTGTATTTCTGTGCATGTGTGTCTGACCCATAGAAATAGCAAAGAATTGGAGAAATGTACATTATGGTAGTATATTAACTATATTAAATGCTTGATCTGAAGAGGTGCTATTGTATCTTCTTTTAAATAGCAGAGAACAACTATACTTCCAGAAAGCACATCA